AGCTTCTTTGCAGCAACAGGAACATAACTTGTGTGAGTGGGTTTCGACTGGACATCGCCTTCGTCATCAGAAGACTCGTCTTTCTTTGAATCTTCAAGAGTAGACTCAGATACTTGTATAGATGAAACAGATTCTTCTTCCTCTTCAGTCGAAGATGCCATGTGATGGTTCTCTTCCGCTTGCTTCGGTGCCATCGACAAGATCTGAGGTGAGAGGCCTGTAAGATTCTTCTTCTTATTCTCTTTTTTCCTGTCGCCGTCGGTTTTGTTTGTTTTTAGGTTTTGTAAGTTTTATTCGAAAACAAGTGATCTTCTTTTTCTAGGTAGGGTTTGGCTTCGTATATATAAGGAGGCTTTACAGAAAATATAATCTCAAGCCCACCAAACAACCCTCGTACTTGCGAACGGAATGAGATACAAACCAAAGGAGCAAAAACAACAAGACCAGCCCCGCTCACGCACCATTCTACCCAAACCGAACTAACAAGAAGGATATTAGACCAAACCAATTTATGTTTGTGGAAATGAAGTCGGATTTAAATTTCATCAGCAAATCATATATTTTAAGGAGAATGATCGAAGTCGAAAATGAAGTCGGATTTGATGTTCACAGTCAACAACTCATTGATCAATACTGTTACGTTTTGGAGGCATTCTACACATACAATATACTCTCAAAACATGTATGCACCATTCCACACTTGATCATACATATTCAAAGGGGACCAAACTTGCCTATTTTGGAGTCTAGGAGAAAAAAAACGTGGTTTCGCTATTTAGTTATTATAAAAGAAAAATGATAAATAATTTTATCTAACTTATAGCAAGATTTCACCTGGGAACCTCCGTGCATGAGAGGGAATGTTAGGCAATGGGGAAGGACTAGAACCTCTAATTTGTTCTTAGGATATGGACCGATCGCTTGTCGAAACGCGTCAACTGTGAAGTGAGGATGCAATTAGAAACCAATATGTTTCTACCGCCAATGGACCTACACTTGTAATTCTGCAAAAGATTTTTGAGTCGGTAAACATAATCAAGGTACAACTCCAAATGATATGATTCAAACTCCATTGAAAACCTAACTCAAATACCTATCCAGACCTTTCGAGAACGCGTAAAGGTGTTCGGATACCCTAATATCAGTCGGATTCCTTGCCCACTGCAGGTGGAGTTTGAAATTGAACGCGTTACTATACTTGCGCCATATGTACGATTGGAAGCAGAAATCAAGCGATAGGAAAAAAAAGCTGAAAGGCTTGGACAATGATATTTGAATTCGACTTTGAGATACTAGGTTTTGCCAAAGACGAAAATTTCAGTTAGGAACATTGAATCTTAAGCATGAGGCAATTGAAGATGCTTTCAGGCAAATGATGGCTTATATCAAGTCTAAATTTTCAAAAAGTTTACCTTTGTAAAACTAATTTTTCTGCTGAATTTTATTTTGAAATTATGTTTTCCTTATTAACCAAAATATTCATTAAAAAATCCAATTAAACGGCGAGTTAATTAAAAAGAAAATTAGTAACTTTCGAACGTGTTGAACACGTCAAACCATCAGTCTTTAATTT